CCTTGAGCCGGTGAGATTAGAACCGCTGAACTGCAAATAACAGTCAGCTGAAGTGTCCTGCAGTACTGCACCCTAACCACTGCGCCACCTCGGCTCTCAAGTCACTCTTGGTCTCACTAATATCCAGTGGTGGGATTCAAATAATTTAATAACTGGTTTGCCCAGAGTCAGGTTGGCTATTGTGGGAGGTGTGGCCCATCCCTGTCCCCCAGCTCTGGCACACCTGCAGGACAAGCCTACAGCAATGGCCAACCTGACCCTGGGTGAACTGGTTGTTAAATTTCCACCCTTTGGCAAAATGTTGTTTCCGAGGGTGATTGTCTGCACATTGGTCTCGCGGCTGTTTCAGACTTCTGGACATGGCTCATTTAAGAGGCAAGGTTTCTGAGGAATGAGGAGGGGGGAGTTACCAAAGAGACAAGGAGTTGATGCTCCTGAGCAAAAGTTCACACGGGAAGATGAAGAATTGGGGGGAAGTGGAGGGTTTCCCCCTTTTTGTGGAGCTGTGCGTGGGGGGTATTGGTCAGTCTGCAGGCAAAAGTGAGAGAGGCGAGGGATTAAGTTGGTAGAATGACTGAAGTTGGGCCCAATGTAACCCCCCACCCCCTGCTATGAAAGTAGATCCTGGGCGCTATGCTGCAATGGAGAAATGGACAACAGAGCAGCCAGCACAAGGGAAGGAGGAGCAGGGAAAAGAAAGTGGGAAAGTGGCCTTCTCCTTCCCTCGTGCCAACCACTGTTGGCCGCTATCCAATTGCAGCGCCCAGGATCTACTTTCATAGCGGGGGGAGGGAGATTGGACAACCGATTCACCTGAACCGGTGCAAACGGGCTGAATCCCACCACTGCTAATATCTCAAAGCTATTAAAATGATTTACTGTATTCCAAAATACAATTACTCTTTCTCACCTGCATGGCAACTCATACTTGGAGAAATCCAATCATAGTTAAATGAACTTCATATTTAAAATTCTAATAGTCGTTCCTTGTTTCGCCTAAGAAGCCATACTATTTGATTCTCTTCACCCACAGCTAAGTCCTATTTGTATTTTCCTCCAAGGCTTTCATTACATTTCCTATTCAAAATGAGATAAAGTACTTCCCTGGATTAAGACCGCCTGGGAAGAATCTATGTTACCTTGTTGAGCTTGGATGCCAGTGGGTCAGCAGCTTCTTTTCTCTGAGTATTTCCCATAGCTGCTAAAAGACTGAGCTGAAACTGATCTTCCTTTGAGCTCATTTCATTTTTAGCAGTGAGCTGCATAAAAGAAATAGGATCATCTGGCTGAATGGTCACGTTCCTCTTCTCAGACTCTTTCTGGTGTAAGGGGAAAAGAAAGAAATGGTTAAGAGAAGTGTACACAAAAAAGAAAAGGCTTCTCCTAAGAACTGGTCCTTGGCATTGGAACTGAATTGATATTTTCCAATGATCTTAAGTGCAGATGTGGAGATCAGTTCTCACCTTCTGAGACAGCTTCTCCTCTTCCAGCTTGGCAGACAACATATGAGAAAGGGATTGCCGGCACTCCTTGTTGAAAATATCATTCATCAGAGGGGAACATTCTGAGAGCACTTTCAGGCACAGAGAAATCCGATCCACATCATCATCTGTGATTGGCTTCTTGGGGAGAGATGATTTGCCCAAATGGAGGATACTGGCCATAAGCAGCATGGCCTCAGCTACAAAAGTCTAATAAGGAAGCAAGAGAGATGATAATAAAACTTACATTTCTTTTAATCCCATGCATTCCACTATTCTCTTCTTCAAAATGACATGTAAGGCTGAATTAAGATCTAACAAAGTAGCAATTACAAGACACAGGCTACTGCATGCTAAATATGTCCAAAAACCATAATGGAGCCCCCCCTCCTCTTTAGGGAAGATGGTTCGGCAAGCAATTTCTAATCATCACGGTTTTAAAAAGTCATCCAAGGTCTAAATTGTGGTTCGTGGTCTCTTTCTCTCTCTAAATTAAATAAATAGATAAGGCAGTTTTACAGCGTACGGTCTCCCTCGATTTATTTCAAATACTGTAAGGCACAATAAACCAAGCTGCTGCCTTGGGAAACCTGTGCAATAATAATATATTTTCCTGACAGCAAACAGTTCGCTCAATTGTGCCCCTATATGAGACTGCAAAGAACTATAAGCAAGCTGAGTACACAGCTATTGGCTAAAAATTGAGATTTAATTATACAAAACTCTCTATGAGAAATCACTTACATTTTGTTTCTTCTTTTCTTGAACCAGAGTCACATAACGTAAAGCAATCTTGGTCAGAGTTGTTGCAAGGGAAGCCGCAACAAAGAAATCACCATCTAACAAAAAGCCTCTCAGTGGAGGTCTGCAAAGAAAAGGTAAAATTAACGTTCAGAAAAAGAGCATCTGGCAATCCCATGCGTTCTATTTGAGTTTAACTGTATGAAGGAGTTTGTATTCTTAATAGTATTCTACTGGGTTTTTAAATGATATTTAAACGATATATTATAGTTGCAACTTTCCTCAGATAGACTCAAGACATATGATGAATACAGGAGCTCGAGTTTCAAATGCCTTTGGGAACTCTGAGCTGTCTCCTGCATCTAAGGTTCTTTCATTACAGTTTTAACTTCTGGGGAGTTCATTAATTTATGTACTAAAAGGAAATTTATGCTTCAGTAACTTTAGATAATCACTGTTAACTATTACCAACCTAATACTGGCTGGCAAGAGGTACATACTTTACATGGTTAAGGCATCCATCTAAGCAAGAGGTACCAAAGAATTATGAGAACAGAAATTCACAAGTGGTCAGTAACAAAGTCAATTATCTGTTCCATCTCCCTCCAAAAGTGGATAAAAACAGAGCAGAAATTTTGGTGTTTGTGGCAAGATTCCACACTTTAGAAGACATCCATGAATCCACCAAAGAAGTAGCTGAACTCTCAGTCTTTTTTAGGGTTCTATAATTCTAGTACAAAAATACTAAAATGGATGAGAAAAGTCTGCTGCCATGACAATGAATTTCATTTGTCAGGTACAAGAAACGAAGGGCAAAAACAGAGTTCAAAAGCATATTATCTATACCCAAAACTCTGATCTACTAATGTTCAATGCAAATTGCTGCCAAGTAACAGCCAAGAGACTTTGGTGTGTGTTTGTGTGTGTGTGTGTGT